CTCAGTTTTCTCTCCTTAAAGGAGCTTTTTTTCCTCTTGGGGATTTATATGAAGGAAATTAATGTCACCAGGTTTATTGTGCTATTTTTGTCTTGGAGCATGGGGTTTGGGTGGAGGACCTGGTTGTAGCCAATGCTGGAGATAAAGGTGAAGCCATATGGTAAAACTTCCAGTCTAAGGAGTTTTTATGCCATCCTAGAGGTGACAGAGAGCCAATAAAGGACGTTAGGCAGGGGAGGAATGTGACTATGTTGAGAACTGTCCCTCTATAGAGAATGGCTTTATAAAGGCAAAGACTTGGACAGAGGCCTTAGTAGTGGTCCAGGCCCATTAAGTTGAGGTTGATGAAGTTATAGGGTCAAAGAAGGAAGGATGGAGTTAGGAGGCAAATGTGTATCCTGCCTTCCCTCTGGTCATCTGGTGGGGGGGTAGAAAGACTGCGAGGGGGTGCATTCTCTGGGGGATTTAGTCTATAGGGGCAGTGTACTTTCATGGCATGCAGTGGAAGTGGAACCCTCGTCTCTTTGCAGTAGCTTTTCCTCTTCAGAATACCTCATTGCTTTCAGTGGCTTCCCTTTGCTCTCCTGTATTCATGTCTTGCATCAGCCAAGGGCAAAAGTGCTGAAAGATCTATTCTGTTTTTCTTCCAGCTCGTACTCTGAACTCTCTTAGCCAACAGTATTGGCACTGTCTCACAGCCATGGCCAGCCCCAAATCAAACAAACTGGTTATGAAATCTTGTAGGCAGCCTGTGGCTTTTTGCCTCTGCACATTTCCTTCCAGTTGCTTTAGTCCAGTTACTCTGTCCCATTGAGTAAATGAGCATGTGTAAAGCATATACTGTCCCTTGGTGTTCTGCAGAGTGAGATTGGCTACTGTAGAATCAGAGGTTTTGAGCCACCTTTTCTATGACCTTCAAGAGACACACATCATGCTAGGTACAGTTGTGCACCACTGTAATCTCAGGTACTTGGGAGGTGAAGGTAGAAGGATTGTGGTCTGAGGCTGGCCCTGGGCAAAGACACAAGACCCTATCTGAAAAATAACTAACGTGAAAAGGGCTGGGGGTGTGGTTCAAGGGGTTGAACATCTGCCTAGCAATGTGAGGCCCTAAGACCAAACTCCAATATCTACCTCAAGACAGAGAGAGAGAGAGAGAGCGAGAGAGAGAGAGAGAGAGAGAGAGAGAGAGAGAGAGAGAGAAAGAGAGAGAACGCTCATGAGTGAGCTCATGCGCGTGTGTACACTTTGTCCCAAGGGAATACTAATGTGTAATTTATTTACTCCTTTAAGCATGCTAACTGCAAAACTCCTTACCAGCCCAGAGAGTGGCATCTTCAGAAATGGAATTTGTACTGTTCGCTAATTTTTTTTAAGGGAAAGACAATGGAGGTGTTCTTGTAGCATTATCTGCTACAGAGTAAAAAGGCCCTGCTTCCTATTAAACTGGATTCTGTAAAAGGACCCTGAAAATTGGGTCTTGTGTTCTTGGTGCTCCTGAAATCAGAGTGGAGAGTGCTTTTTTAGTTTGGTGTCAGAATTACTTGCACCATACCCAGTGATGGGGAAATAAATACTTTTGGCCCCCTCACTCACACTAAACATCCAGCCAGCCCCGGACTAGCTTGGAGCCCCACATGGCCAAAGACAAGCTGCATCTCTAGGTACTCCCTGGCCTTCACCCTCAAGTCCTATAGTAACACAGGTCACATGGTCACCTCTTAAGAAGCCAGTTGGCTTATCAGTTTGCTCAGTTAGTTGAAGTGTGAGGTGGCTCAGATTCTCTGGGAGACATTTTTGGCCCACCTGCCTGGTAGCGTAACAGATGAGCTAGTCCAGACAAACTGGGTTATCTAATGACTAGAAATTCAGTTTACACACAGGGATTAAGTATCTCAATGTTAACCTTTGCAACATCAAATTTCTTTGACAGAGAGCCAAGAGGAAAGTGAGCACCATTCAGTGTTAAGGAAAGAGAAACCGGTTTCTAAAATGTAAACGGAGCCCTTTTCTTACATTTAAGACTCCAGGTAGATGCAGAGCAAGGTATGAGAAGTGTGGGACCAATGCTCTCCCAGGCTTCAAACCAAGAGATTTTTAATGGTAGGATCCCTGGAGGTCTTGGGACATGGGTTAACCTTGAAACCTGAGTCAAAGGTTACTTAAGGTAATTCAGTTTAGTAACCTCAGTTGACAAATATTTATTGAGTACCTGTGCACTTTGAGAGGGACAGAGCACAAGCTCACACAGGTTATTCAAGACTTGCGTCAACAAATCGTTCTCAATCAGGGACAAAACAAGTACATACGGCCCACTTAAAGTGACTCTGTGGAGGGATGTCTGAAGCTGTGCGTGTGCTACAGAATGGGAAATAGCACACACACTTTGTGATGAGGGGACTTGTAAGTGATTGGCGAGGTCAGAGCCTGTTTTGGAAAATGGACAGGATTAGTCAGAGGGTGAGAAAGGTCCTCCAGGCGAGGTTAACCAGGCAAGTTTAATACAGTCAGGACTGACCATGGATTTTAGGTGGAAACAAAAGCTGGTTCGACCCTGGGATTGTTTATAGTTCACCTGCCGTGTGCCAGGCTCTGGGATTTGGTGGGTGGTGGGGATTAAAGAAGATTTACTTGTGCCTCAGTATCCACAGATTGCTTCTAGGATGCCCCTTGGATACCAAATCCCACAAACATTCAAGTCTTTTATAGAAAATTACATAATATTTTCATACACATTATATACATCTTCCTTTGTACTTTTATTTATTTTTTATATTATTGGGGTTTGAACTTAGGGTTTCACACTGGCTAGGCAAGCACTGTACCACTTGAGCTATGCCTCCAGCCCTCTTTACTCTAGTTATTTTTGAGATAGGAACTTGCTTTTTACCTGGGTGGGCCTGGACTTTGGTCCTCCTATGTATGCTTCCCACAGAGGCTGGGATGACAGATACGCACCACCACACCCAGCTTTTTTCAGTGAGATCAGGCCTTAAGGAATTTTTTTGCTTAGGCTGGTCTTGAACCGTGGTCTTACCATTCTCAGTCTCATGGTAGCAAGAATTATAAGCATGAGCCACTGTACCCAGTTTCCTCCTGTGAACTTTAAATCATCTCTAGATAATTTATAATACCTATTATTTATGGAATGATGGCAAGAAAAAAATCACCTGTACACAGTATAGACTTTTTGGTTCTTAGAGACAGTGTCTCACCATATAGCCCAGGCTGGTTTTGAACTTGTGATTCTCCTGCCTCAGCCTCATTAGTGCTGGGTTTACAGGCATGAACCACCACCAACTAGTCAGACTTGATTTTTTGTCAAGCATTTTTAATTCACAGTTAGTTGAATCCATATCCATGGTTGCAGAACTCCTGGGTATGGAGGGCTGGCTGTTCATTCTTCTCTACCAAGGGAGCACAGAGTCTGATCGGGGTCAGTTAAGTTGTGTATAGAGCCAGGGAATGTAGGGCTCCTGATTTGGTTCGCAAACTTTGGAAATCGCAGTCTGGAATCGTGATAACCTTGGAGACAGGTATCCTGCAGACCAGCCTCTGATTGCAGAGTTAAGTGCTGACCGTGCTGGCAGGAAAATTCCAGCACACTCTTGGTTCAGGGTGGTCACTCAGTGCCTACAAGCCAGGGCACCGGCACACAAATCCCTGAGGGATCGGTGCTTGGAATCTGCCAGTGTGATAGTGCAAAGAAAATGACTCCCATACTGTTCTGTCATTTGGCCCGGAGGCCCATGGAGATTTAAAACCCTTCAGCCTCTGCAGCCAGCCCCTGAAATTTGAGAGAATAAGGCAGTGCTGTTCCAGAGGCTGGCCTGCCCCTCCTCCTAGGAAGGTTCACTCACAACCACTGTTGAAACCAACTTTTATTTTTAGTGGAAATAAAATGAAAGCCAACATAGTAAGGGAAATATTTTTTTTTAAAATTCCTGTAAGGAACAAACATCCAATTTGATCTTTAAAAATAGGACAATAATGAGTGTTGCCTGTTTCCAAATGCACACTTTGCTTAGTAGCTGCCAGTATGAGATACCGCTGGTAAAATATCAATTTACTAAAACCATTAAAAAAAGAAGACAAAAAGAACCCTTTGCCTCTGCTCTGTCTCCAATTTATGCAAGTTACCCCATTGGCAGGATTAGGGTGAATTAATACCAACCTCTTATTGAAGAGCTGAGAAACTGTGGGATTGGTGTACTTAGTGACTGATCCCTCTCCCTGCTAAGCCTGTGATTTGCCTATTACTCAGTGCCAGTAATGTCAAAAAAAATTACTCTTGTGGGTTTATCTGTATTTGTCATTAAGATTTTACTGAGCCATTGAGCCCCAGAAATGGGCTTGCAGTGTACTCTTGCACCTGGCAGTTGAGCCCCATAGCCCTTGTTCCTTGCAGGGTGCCCTGCCTGGCGTCATTGTGGATCTAAGACATGGTGGGAAGCTCTGGACTGCCCAGATGGCTGGGGAGCGCTCATCTGTAGTGCTAACGCTAATCTTGGCCAGGCCTGTGAGTGTCTAGGATGCCTTGATGGGTCCCTAGGTGATTGTTTTGCCTAAGCATCACAATACCTTTATTTACATCCCCAAGAAAGTGTGCAGTGATTTGGGTGTTTTGTAGCTTTTGCTATAAAGGAACCTCACTCTTGACAAAAAGAAGGAATGCCTGAGTTAGTTTAGGACTAGCATTGAGAGGATTGAAACACAGACAAGTTCAGTGGAGTGGAACGAAATGAGCCCATGGTAGGTGTCTAGGTCTCCGTGCTGTCATCGTTCTACTGGATTAGGCTACACAGGCTAATGGAGGCATTAGCCCTTGACTGAGTACAGGTTGCCAGGGTGTTCTGAGTCAGATGGCTGGACACGTGCATTCAGAGGGACGGGGCAGGTTGGGGGTGGCTAGTCGGCACAGTGTAAACCTGAACTGTAAGGTGAGCGAGCTTGTTTCTTAATCTCTCGCCATCCTGATTCTCTTGTCTTTCCTTTCTCAGAGAGCAGAGCTGACGTCTGATAAAGACATGTACCTTGACAACAGCTCCATCGAAGAAGCTTCTGGAGTGTACCCTATTGATGATGACGACTATGCTTCTGCATCTGGCTCAGGTAAGGCTGGCTGCTCTCTGCCTGTACTCACACCGATACATATGCGCACACATGTGCACACACAGACACAAACATACGTTTTGTTGCCATACTTCCAAGAGATGAGCAGCATGTGCAGTGGTTAAGAGCCCCATCTTTGGAGTCAGAGTATCTTGGGTACAGATTCAAGCTCTCTGCCATTTAAGCTCTGAGAACTTGGGAATTTTATTTATTTATTTGGGGGAATTTATTTAACTTTGCTGAGCCTCAGTTTCATCATTTATAAAAAGGGAAAGTAATGATCCTCTTTACCACATTGAGCTGTTGAGATTAAAGGAGTTGACACTTGAACTTTAAATTTTATTCTTAAGAATTTCAGAGGATTGTATGGAGATCACTCTTAAAGAGAATTCCTCAAATAGCAATTTCATAAACTGCCTGCCCTTAGTTAGAGATTATAGATGAGACCAAGAAGTTACATGCTTTTTTAAATTCCTTAGTGTATTGCTCAAAAGTTGGAGGAGCAATGTAGTGGCCAGTAAAACAAGGGTACCTGTGATGCCTGTGACTTCCTTGGTATGTTAGTTATCTATCACTTCTGTACTGCTGTGTAGCAAGTCACTCCAACACTCAGTGGCTCAGAGCAATAGGTATCCATTTAACTCATTCTTCTGCAGGTTGGTGATTTATGGTGGGTTTTTCATGTGTCTGCAGGTGCAGTTTGGGCCTGCATCTTTGCTGATCTTGACCAGCCTCTGCCCTATCTTTGGGGCAGCCTAGTAGACATGGCTGTAGTCCACATGGTGCTTCATCTTCCAGGTGGTCAGGCATTTGTTCACAGAAAGAGAGCTCCCTGGGTAACACGTGTGCTTGTGTGAAGGCTCTTGCAGCCTAGGCTTAGAACTTGCCACAGCATCACTGCCTCCTCACCTCTACCCCCTTTTCCTGGCCAAAGCAAGTCAGAAAGCCAGCCCAAGCTCTGCTTCCTTTTTTTCTTTTTTTCTCTTCTCTTTTCTCTTTCTTCAGCGCTGGGGATCAAATCCAATGTGTTAGTCAGTTTTATCTCTGTGACCAAATACCTGACAGAAACAACTTAAGGGAAGAAGAATTTATTTTGCCCATGCTTTCAGAGGGTTTAGTCCATGGTGGTTTGACTCCATCACTTGGGCAGATCATCATGGTGGGGACAGCATGTGGTGGAAAATGTCCTTACTTTGTAGCTGATAGGGAGCAGACAGGGAGGAAGAGACTGGAGACAAGGTATAACCTTCAAAGATGTGCCCCAGTGACCTACTTCCTCCAGCTAGGCTCCACCTCCTAAGGCTTCCAGAACCTCCCAGAATAACACCATCAGCTGGGACCAAGCTTTCAACACATGAGTCTTTCGGGGACATTTCATATTCAAACCATAACACCCAGGGCCTCACGTAAGCTAGGCAAGCACCATACCACTGAGCTGAGTCCCCAACCTCAGACTCCACCTCGTAATGGAAGGAGCTACAGTCACATTGCAGAGGATGTGGCAATTTACTCAAGCTTCTTTACCTGGTAAACGCTTCACCAGGTACCAGGAATGGCTCCCAAGAAGGTGAGAAAAAGGAAAAGATTTTATATATATTTAGTTAATGGACAACTCAGAAGTGTGTGTGCTCAGCAGCGTGCAAGGGAAGTCCTATTCAGACTTTTCTTGGCTAGGGTTTTTATTTCAGATTCAACAGATGGTAAAAGTTTGGCTGAATGTAGATGTATAACAATCGGATTGGTCTAGGCTTCAGAATGACCCAGAACAAATTAAAATCAGTTGTGTCTTGGTGAAGATGGAGACATATAAGGGTATTTTAAGTTGGAAAATGACAAGTTTTAAAAAGACAAGAGAGATGGTGGCTGACCTAATAACAATGAGCTTACAAAGCAAACCTAATGTAAAAATAGTCCTGGTTATTCTTAGGAGAGTGATATATATCACACACGCAGAATGAGTGTGAAAGAGTTGTCCGTGGGCCACAACACTATTAATACCTTTCACTCATGACATCTCTTTTTTTTTTTTAGCACCTCAAAAATGCTTTGCAGCTGTCATTTTCAAAATGTCCCAGGAAGTAATAAATATGAACAATTTTTTGCCCCCATTTCACAGGTCTGAGAGTTATTAGAGGTCTGAAGAGGTTGTCCATGTCATTTTGCTCACTCCTGCCGAGATTGACTTTGCCTTTAATTTAAGAGAAACTAGTACATAGCACTGCCCCTTTCCTCCCCTTCCGGTGAAGGGTAGTTGGAGTAGGTCCTTTGAAATTCTGAACCCACTCATCAGACAAATCAAGGTAAGCCTTAAATGTGGCCCAGACTCTTTAGCCACAGTGCTACCTTCAGGCAGGTCATTGCTATGAAACGATGGAAGGATGTTGTTGTTGACTTTAAAACCACCTTTTGCTGTGGTGTGGCTATTTTTTTTCAGCTTAAAGGAAGTAATGGTTGTAACTAAAATTTGGGAAACATTTACCGTGTGTTGGGCAATGCTCCGTCCTTAAAACAGCCCTGTAAGGATAGATTCTACTCTTGTTTCCATTTTTCACATGGGAAAACCTAAGACACAGAGAGATGAAGAAAGTTGCTTCAGGTCACACTGTCAGAATGTCACGGAGGTGGGACAGGGACCAGGGAGTGGGGTTTGTGAGTGTATTCTCTGTCAGTCCTTTGCTGTACTACCTCCCATGTTTAAAGCCCCATTGTAGAGATAAAAGACCTTGCCTCAATGGCACCCAGCCCAGCTAGAAACACCAGGATCCCTCTGGCATTTTGGCAGTGTTACCATCTGGCCTAACTCGTGTCAGCCTACCAGGTAGGAAGGCAAATGGTCTGGAAGAGAATGTCTAAAGGCCCAGGGGAGATGGCCCATGCTACATTGTGTGCAAATGGGCACTGGCAAACAGGAGAACTTTATAGGGATTTACTGTGTGCCACACATGACGCCATGTTCTTGGTACTCCCATGGGAAAAACTTGGTTGGCATCCTCAAGAAACAGAGTCTAATGAGAGAAATAATAATTGTAACACCACACGATGGGTGACAGAACATAGGAAAGTATTGTCCAGCAAAAATACAAGACTTTTGGTTAAAGATGGAAATTAAGCATAAATATTTTCCAGGACCTGAATAAATTGATTATAAATGAATTCAGCATGAATTCACAAGGACAAACAAGACACACTAAAGGAGACAAAAGCCACAAAGTTTTGAAAGCTGGGAAGCAGATGAGCTGATAAGTCTTGGCAGACATGAGAAGGCTGAGTTAGTCAGCACTGAGCAGAGCCAAGACACAAACCAGTCAGCACTGCAGAATCCCCTGGGTACCCAGGATCCACAGCACAAACGGAGGGTGAAAGTAATGTGAATCCAGGATGAGCCATTGAAAGTCTCTTTCAGAAGCAAGTAGGTTACCTGATTCCTTCTCTCCACTGTATAGCAAGAGACTCATGCTCTCCAGTCTCAGAGGAAAACAGGTGACTTAGTATCTGGAATTGAACATAGGGTCTTTGGCCTGAAGATATCTTATTTAAAATGATAAGAATATCTGAACTTCAATGTCAGGCACCTCTAGTCACAGCTACTGGAGAGGCTGGGGTAGGAGAATCACTTGAGCCTAGGAGCTCAAAGCCAGCCTGGGCAACATAGTGAGACCTCATCTAAAAAGAAAAAAACACAGATATACATAAAAATAAGTTCTTAGTAAAAGTTTTTTGATGCTAGCCAGGCATGCCAGCACATACCTGTAATCTAAGCAACTTGGGAGGATAAGGCAAGAGGATCCCTCAAACTTAGCAAGACTCTATCACAAAAGCAAAAGGGCTGGGGACATGGCTCAAGTGGTAGAGCACTTGGAGGACCTGGGTTCAATCTCCAGCACGGCCCAAAACAAGCAAACAAAAACAAAACAAAACAAAAACTTCTTAAATGCTAAGATATGCCTAGGTGTCTTTTTGCAGTCACCTTTCAGAATACTGGCTACCTATCCTTTATGCTCTGGGTAAAGGACTGAGAGACTGCTCTAGGGGGGTGGGTGAACTAAAAGAGACAACACAAAGATGGTGACATTGGGAGCTCTCCAACAAAACACATAGCACTGCCTATACTGGTGAGGTTCACATCTGACACACCTCTGCTAGGTGTTTGGAGCTTCAGGTCAGCTTTTCTATGTCTAAATATGAAAAGACAAGTAAGATTCCCATTGTAATATGAAAGACTGAAAAACATAGAAAGAAGAGAACTTACAGAAAAAAACTTCATTTAATTCAGAGATAAGAAAATTCTTTAATGGTGAAACAAGAACAGGATACTATTAAAAAGGAACATCTTGAAAACAGAGTTCTTGGTGAGCAGAGCTCTCAAATCAAAAAAAGAAAAAAACTCTCAGAAGATGAGAAGATACAGAGGATATTTATTCGTTTACAAAACAAGCATGCATTAGCCACCCACTAATAGGGGGCAGGCACCATTTTAGAACACTTTGGGAAATAAAATTTGACAGTGCTTTCTCTAATGGTGGGAGAATTCTTTATTCATTTATGTATTTCTGTGTTTTCAGGTTTCACCCGTGAAGTTATATTTTTAATGTGTTCTTTTTAAAACTGAGTAATTTCTAAACAGCATAGATTTATTGGTCACAGTTACAGAAGCTGGGAAGTCAGAGACCAAGGTGGCAGTAGATGTGGGGATGTGAGAGCTTGCTTCTTGCTTCATAGATGATGTCTTCTTGCTGCGATCTCATGTGACAGAGTGGTCACAGGAGCTCCCTCGGGCTTCTTTCATAAGGTGGTAAGAGACACCTTCACCTCCTGAAGGCCCCACCTCTTAATACTACTGCACTGGGGACTAAGTTTCAACATAAGAATTTGGGGACATGACATGACATGACAGTCAGGCCATAGCACAAGTAAAAGAAAATGTTATCTATAAAGAGAAACAGAAGAGATCCAGTGATGAGCTGTGGGAACATGGCTAGAATAGAACACACAGCTTTACAATGGAGAGGTCACAGAAGGCTTAGGGACATGACAGTGTAGAGGGGTTTCCCCAGTAGAAACAGGCTCTGGGGTGGGATATTTCAGATTGAGAGAATAGCAGGTGCTGAAATTCAGGAATGGAGAGGGCTCTTTGGTTTCTGGTTTGGTTAAGAGAGTTTGTTTTTTCATTAAAGATGTTAAAAACAGTAGGTGAGGCAGATGACACTTCTGTCTCCAAGCTCAGAAATGCTGGCTTCACAGCTCTCCTCTGTCACACAGCTCCTCTCACTGGTGTGAGTCACCAAACTAGGAGTGGAATAAGGGGAGTCTTGAAAGCCCTTAATTGAAATGTTTCATTCCCTATTGAGATTTTATTCCTTTATAAGAAAATGTTTCATTGTAGTAACAAATGAAGCATATTGTATATAAGACGTGAATAATCAGGTAGGCTGATAGAAAAGAACAGTGTTTTGCACGGATGATGACGACGACAACGACAATGATTTGCTGAACTCAGGGTCTCCTGCTTGCTAGACAAGCACCCTGCCACTTGAACCCTTCCCCCCGAGTCCTTACTGCTTTGGTTGTTTCTCAAATAGGGTCTCAAGTTAACTGGATTGGCCTCCCAACTAGTCCTCCTTATTTCTGCCTCCCAGGGAGCTGGGATTATAGGCATACATCACTGCTGCCAGTCTTAGAGCTATCATAATTAATGATTTATTTTGCATAACATTTTATGAGTACAGAAAGCTTTCAAATAGGTACTGCATCTGTGACATGTTGACATGCATCCCATAATGACAGTTTGGTTAATGATAGACTGAATATACAATGGTGGTCCCTTAACATTAGAAGGAGCTGAAAAAATTCCTATCGCCTGGATATGTGTGTGTATAAAACATATTGATACCATGTATCATAGGTGTGTAGTAGGCTGCACTGTCTATATGTGCGCATACTCCACGATGTTCCCACGACAGTGAAATCCCTTGACACCATTTCCCTAGAACCCCATTGTTAAGTGACACATGAATGTGTATGCACTTTTGAGAGTAAGTTATCATTTTCCACCATTTCATAGGTAAAGAAATTAAGGCCTAAATATTACTTGCCCAAGATAATAGCACTAATAAATTCCAGAACCAGAAAGAGGTTGATTTGTTTGTTTGTTTGTTTGTTTGTTTTTAAATGTAAAACCCAGTATTTATTCTGATAGACTGCCATTTCTTTTCTGTAATAATGAGTACACGTGCTCTGGAGTTAAAGGAGACAGCCCATAATATTATGCAATGAGCTGCAGCCATCGCACTGTTCCTGGCACGTCACCTCAGCTTTCAGAACTGCTTATTTCATGGTTATGACTGTAATAAATACTCATTCTTAGGTTTGAGGAATTTAGAGATTTCATCATTCATTATTCATTATTGTCTGAGGAAGCAGGTTAGTTTGAGTTAGAGTTTGAGTCTGTTTTTAGTTATTACAAATTTGACTGTTGATTAACTTTAAAGCAATATTACATTTGCATGTCAGAAAATCTCCAATGTAGAAAGCAAGTGGTTAGTCACTTACTGAACAAACACCAGATCAGAGCTCATAATGCCCCAGACACTGTGTTAGACATTCAAGATGCAAAACAGATGTAATCTCTTGACCTTGCAGTATTTCCAGTCCAGTAGGGGAGACTTTAATCAATAGTTTCACAAATAAATACATAATAAATTTATAGTAAATAAAATTAGGGTAAGAAAAACGATGCTAAAAACTATTTAACAGAAAACTCTGACCTCCTATGGCAGGAGTGTCCTCCCTGAAGCCTGGGGTTGTTAGGAATTAACTAGGTGAGGGTTTCTGGCACAAGGATCAGGGCCCCATGGTTGGTAGAGCACAGGGGTAGTGATGCTAAAAGAAAGCTGAAGAGGTAGGCTGGGGCTGGACCACACAGTTCTCACTTAGCCCAAGAGCAGCGGGGTAAGAATTTTAAACAAGGGGGCAGTAGAGTCACAGCCTATTTGTGGACAATGGACTTGTAGTGATCTTCAAATGGCCTATTAAGGAGAAAAACAGGTACATGGGTTCATGGCAAGATCAGAGTGACTTGGATTAGAGTGGTGGTCCTGGAACCTTAGAAAGGTGTCAGCATGGAGAGATGCTAAGAAGGTAAAATTGACAGGACAGACCGATGGATTCCATATAGAGGTAAGGAAGAGGAAGTCAGGGTGCTGGTATGTGGCGACAGGATTCCAGCTACTTCAAGGTAACATGGGGAACAGACAGTATTTGTGTGGGGAAGGGAGAAATGATGAGTTCTGTTTTGGACAGGATAGAGGTGTATGGTATCTTTGAGTCATTCAAGTGAAAATACAAGCAAACTATTATATTGGTCTGAATTGGAGCAGGGTGGTAAAAGCTAACATTGAAAATTTGCGCCTCATTCACATTTAGATGGTTATTTGAAGCCATGGGCATGAGTGAGGTCGAAAGTGTAGACTAAGAAGAGGCCTAGAGGAATTTCTTGTATTTGGCATTCAGATAGGAGAAGGGGAAATTGCCAAGGAGACTTAGAATAGCCAGAGAAGCCAGGAAGTTGTAGACACCCAGAGAAATGGAGTGTTTCAAGGAGATGGCAGTTGACAGTGGCCAGTGGTGCTAGGTAGGAGCATGTTAGTCGGTTTCCATTATTGTAACATAACACCTGAGAGTATCAGCTTAAAAAGAGGAAAGGTTCATTTTGGCTCATGGTTTTGCAGGCCTCAGTCCATGTTGGTTGGCCCATGGCTTTTGGGCCTGTAGTGGTCGGGGTGTGTGGCAGAAGAAGCTGCTTATCTCATGGATGCCAGTAAGCAAAAGGGAGAGGCAGGAAGGGACCAGGCTCCCAGTATCCCTTTCAGAGACATGGCCCCCCCAAAGTTCCACTATCTCCTAATAGTGCCAGGAGCTAAGGACACAGCCTGCAACACATGGACCTTTGAGGGACACTGAGATTTGATTAGACAAGGACCACTTGAAAAATGCCATTGGATGTGGCAACAGAGAGGGCATTGGTGACCTTACAAAAAGTATCAATACTGTGATGACGGGGACTCCAGCAGGAAGAAGCAGCACAGTGTGGAGGTGGTGAGGGGGCAGGAGCCAGTGAGGGTCCCCGCCACCATGGGGAGAGTCAAATGAGGCAGGGGATGTGTCAGCTGTCAGCATTTCTTTTTGTCATGTTTGGGTTAAAAATGGGGAAAGGAGCGTGTTTCAATGTAGACAAGAAAAAAGGTCGCTGAGCAGGAAAGCTTGACATGCAAGGGAAAGAGGGCTACTTACGGGTGTTGAGGACAGTAACAGGGGAAAACCTTGCCAGGCGCCCCCACAACCCTGGTGAAGCTGCTTCATGACAGTGAGCTTTGTGCCAAACACTCAGGGGCCAGCACATTGAGAAAACATGTCTCTGTCAGGCTCGGTGTCAGACGGCATTGCTGACAACGTACAAATCTCTGTCATGATTTGCATGCTCAACTCACCTTCACTTCTTTTCTAGGAGCCGACGAGGACATCGAGAGTCCAGAGCTGACAACATCTCGACCCCTTCCAAAGATACTGATCACCAGTGCTGTTCCCAAAGTGGAGACCACCACGCTGAAGACGCAGAGCAAGCTGCCTGCTCAGACGAAGGTGCGTTTTGTGTTGCATGCGTGGTCATGTTGTCGTAAGCACTCCTCTGTTCTGACTGTACAGAGTAGTCCTTTTGAGAGGCCCCACTTAAAATTAGGTAAAGACAAATGGCCTCATCACCCCAGGACTGTAAATGACTCATCCTTCCTCCTTAGGACCACTTTGGTGGCATTTACGTACTTGCTGCCTTTATCACCCAGGACTAGCTTCCATATAAATATTTTTTCCTCTTAAACCCCTACAGCAATCATAACTATGTTTATTTGCTTAAGCCAAGAAGAAAAATTTTTTGGTGGCAGTGGTGTTTGAAGTCAGGCACTCACACTTGCTAGGCAAGTGCTCTACCATGCCTCTAGCCCTTTTTATTTATTTATTTATTTTTGTTTTAGCTATTTTTCAGTTTGAGTCTTGTACTCTTTGCCTGGGGCTAGCCTCAGACCAAGAACCTCCTACCTGTGACCTCCCAGGTAGTTGGTATCACAGACATACTCTACCACCACATCTGGCTTATTGGTTGAGTAAAGATCTTGCTAACTTTTACCCAGGCTGGCCTCGCCAACACCGCCCTCCTACATAGCTGGGATTGCAGCCATGTACGGCTACACCTGGCTGTAGCCAAGAAAATGTTCTTTTTCTCATTTCATGGAGAATGTTTTGAGTTAAAACCATTGAGAACTTTACATGTGCTGGAACAGGCTTTGGGGTGAGACTTCAGGTCATATTGGAAGATTGAACATGCTTACTGAGTCATTTCATAGTCTCCACAGGCCTGTCATCCGTGTAAACTTGGACCACTTACAGTGATAATGATGGAGCTAGGCACATCTGTATTTATTCATTTTGAGAGCCAACTTAGTAAGAATGAGATGGTTGGCTTTAGAACAGGACAAAGCTACCAGCTAAGGAAAGCTACAAGCTTGTGACTTGACTTTGTTAGCATTATACTGCAGTCAGCTGGCTAGAGTAATAGGTAAGCTATTTTACGTTAGAAACTATGTGTCAAAGGCCTAGGTTTCAAACCCTGGATCCAATTCGTATTTCTTGGGTCATTAAGGAGATTAGATGTGAATGCATATAGTCTGGCACCTAAGACTTAGTAAGCATTCTGTAAACACTAATTGAATTTGGAGCAGCAGAAGAGACTAAGCCAGTTCACCCAGTGAGCATATGTAATGTAAGAGCTGCAGAGCTAGACTTGACAGAGGCTTTGGGGTAACATGCTACATAGGAAAACTTAGAAACCCGAGCGTCCCCTTTTGGAGCTCACATATCTGTTGATTAGAAGTGAAATTCTGCTAAGCTATTGCAGCAGACAGTGCATGGAAAGCTGTTTCATAAGGAAGTGACATGACTGCTCTGCCGTGGGAAGTACCCTTCTGCAGAGGTGGTCTTTTTCTGCCCTTACCAGAGAACATTTTCTCTTCCTCCTCTTCCTTGGTTGTCCTAGTGCATGGAACCGGGATGGGGAATGACACAGACAAAGCCTAAAAGCTCTCTGCATTTGCAGAGAAGCCAAGAGGTGAGCTCTACACAGGTTCCCATGTTCTCTCTAGGCTTAGGAAGGGCCATTATTGCTGGCAGACTGACCTCCCGAGCTAGGCAATAGGAAAGCAAGAAGCTCCTTGAGGACAGAGGCAGACATCTGTTGCATGTTCAGGCTCATGCCTGGAAGCTGCTTCATCAGTGTCAAAGTTGAATGAATGAAAGAAGGAAGAATAATGAGAAGTAGGAAGTGCAGTTGAAGGTAGGATGGCTGAGTAGCTCAGAGTACGTGGGAGCACAGTTACGCTTATGACTGTGGAAAGATGCATTTAGTCTTTGCCACATTTTTCCTTGACCTCTTCTTATGACAGATACTTTGATGTTAGTGACTGTTAGGATTTACTAGCTCAAGGCAAGAACCCCCTAGGTCAGTTCTGGCTTTCAGTGATAAAGAGTTTTCTGCTAGGCATGGTGATCCATGCCTGTAATACCAACTACTCAGAAGGTGGCGGTAGGTGGACTGTGATCCAGGTCAGTGTGGGCAAAAATGTGAGACCCAAACTGAAAAGCAAGCTAAAAACAAAAGGACTAGCCAGGCACCAGTTGCTCACACATGTAATCCTAGGTACTCAGGAGGCAGAGATGAGGAGGATTGCGTTTCAAAGCCAGCAGGGCAAATAGTTTGCGAGACCCTATCTCAATGAAACCCGTCACAAAAAAGGGCTGGTGGAGTGACTCAAGGTGTAGGCCCTGAGTTCAAACCCCGGTACCACACACACACACACACACACACACACACACACACACACACACATGAGTTTATTTAGATTTCTGGTCTGTTGACATCAATGGACTGAAGATTAGTCTAAGATTATAAAAATTCATTTAAGGAAGTCAAGATAAACAATATAGACATTTGTCAGATGAGTTTAGAAAGTAAAGATCCTAGAACATTTTTCTATATTTCTAGTCCTATTGTCATTTATATTCAGTGTAATAATAAAGGTTCATCCATTCATGGGAGATTTATTTATATGGGTAAATGCTGTTGTAAGTACTGATATTGATAATATTGATCATGACTAGTGATTTAACTTTGCATTTTGTTGTTGCGTGGTATAGCTGAATTAAATATTGCCTCTAGAATACCTTAGTGAGGGGTTTGCTTTCACATGGGTCTCACAGTGGCATTTGTGTCACTATTACAGGCTTTTTCTCTAGTTTCTTGAGAATTTATTGATTAAAACGCAGGGGTTTTTTATGCAGAGCATCACTCATTCCATTGCCATGGCAATCAAACAGCCAGACATGGATGCGACAGACCTTTAATTGGCTTCATTTAATTATTCATGCTGCCTTGTTTGTAATTTCATCTTGCACATGTATATATATATATTTATATATATATATGAGAGTTAAGATAATTCAGATTAGTTCTATACTGTGGAATGGTTTCTTCTTAGTCAAGACTATTTCTATACAGTAGAGCTTTTTCATTTGAAAAGCAGTGACTAGTCCATCCAGAGCACCTTGACCCTTGTGCGCTGATAAGGCCATTCCAGTAAGTGCCCATGGCTGCAGTTCACTTGAGACTTTCTGTCCCCACTCTCCAAGATCCCTAGAAGGCATACTTTTTTTTAATCCTTTCTTTCTTTGCTTTTTTCCCCCATTACTAGCTCAGAAGCTTAATCAAAGGGAACTAACAAAGTCATTTTTAATTGACTTTAGGGACTCAAAACCCTGAAATCCTGTGTTTTGCCATAATGATTAGCTAAAGAGGACGTGAATTATTTAAACTCAGTGTCGAATGTTACAGAAGCTGCTGTGTCCATCTCATTTCCCAGCAAAGCTGCTTACTGCTCTTGCTTGACATGCAAACCTGGGTGTCCACCTCCTTGGCTTCTGTCTTTCCTCTCCTAACTCTAACAGTAGGGCAGTGCTCATGAGTAGTGAAAGGTTTCCTAGGTTGGAACTCAGATCATCTAGTCTCTGATCTGTTGTCTGTCCCTCTACCAGGGAGCCAGTTAGTACAGGCTTCCCATGAGAAAAAAAAAATGGAGCAAAAACTCAGTCAAAATATTGTCAACCAGTTTCTCTCATCTGATTTACTTTGGCACATGAAAACCAAGGAGGACCTTTCATACTTTCTTCTATAACAATATAGAAAACCGTGGAATGTTGGGTGCATGTTGTATAATAGTGAACTGATGATTTCTCTGTCATCATGGAAAGGTGGCTGTCCCTGCCATGGAAATCATTGCAGGTTGAGGTTTAGGCAGTACAGAGTTTCTTGAAACTTGGGGAAAAAAAGACACTTTATTATACTTCATCACAAACCATCTTCAGTGGAAGCCTTGTGTGTTTTGATCACTGAGATAGGGACCCACTGATCTTGCAAGCCCTGGAGTTCAAATGGATCCATCTTGTCTAGCTTGTGATCCTTTCCAGAAATTAGGGTGACTTTAAGACAGCCCAAGGAAGTAAGGTCTTTTCTTCTTACCATTTTAGCCCTGTGGACTTAAGTAGCAAGCTGCCATTTTGGATGAACCCCAACCTTCAGAAGGCAATCAGTTATAATATGGAATATTAGGTTTCTATAGAGTCCTAGTAAAGATGGTTGGATATCCTTAGGAAGACTGGTAGAGCTAAAAAGGCTTATTGTCGGCAGTCTTGAGAGCTCATTGGGATTGACAGTGTTTTTCATTAGGAATGTTGACCAGTGAGAACTTCAGCCTGATAGAGAGGAGACAACTCATTAGAACTGAACTTCTCAAAATCAGGGTTCTCAAACCATAGAATCATATGGGGAACTTCAAATAAACAACAATAAAGAGAAACAATAGCTTTCCCACTGCAGACCAAGTGAGGCAGAATCTATAGGTTTATAGGGCCAGTGTGGGTGTGTGCGCAACTCAGAATTTAGCATCACCTTGAGTGGTTCACAGGAGATGGCTAGTGAATTCTGAAAGTTAGAAAGGCAGCAGAAGTTCTGTACTGGTGAGATAGAATGGAAAATGTTCTGGGTTTTCAGAGAGGTGAAATATCGTTAAGGACAAGTGGACAATAAAGAAAGTGAGAAATCTGGGTTAGGGATAGAACTGCATGAACCAGAACACAGATGTTCAGAATCAGTTTTGGCCTCTGGAGTTTTCTTGTGGGGAGTAAGGGGTGGGCTGGGGGGAGGAAGCTGCTCAACAGGTACAGTTCTGAGGGTGTTGCAGCTTGAGTGTGATGTGTTAAAGACCTAAACAAGTGGAAATGAGACTCCAAGGAGGGAATTGAATTTGACAGATGGATGAGAGGCAAATTGATGGGACTGTGATATAGGAGAACATACAATACGAAATGTGCTAAAATGTAAAATAGTAAGCACCCCCCCATACCCACATGTATACACTATGGCAACATGAGTAGAAATAGGAAAGAGGCTGATATGGTTCAGCAGTAAATATTTTTTAGACTTAACATGAAGAGTTCAAGGTGGTGTAGTGAAGGGTTAATGTCTGGCTAGGCAGGGATAATGCTGACTGTATATGAGGCATTGTGAGAGTTCTTACTGTAAACGTTCTTTAGCATTGTTGTGTGTCCAAGAAGCCAGGTTTCTTGAAGTCTTAGTCCAGGGGTTTGCTGAAAGTACCAGACTGAGTAGAGGGAAGCAAGACAGTAAGACTGAGGACTGCTTCCCCTGGAATGAGAGCTGGGAGCAGAGCTGAAAGAGTTGGGAGAATTTGGGTGTTACTAGGTTAGAGCAGCTGGAGGAAGCTGATGGCCTGAAGTCAGAATAGAAGTAGGAAAGCAAGAGTTCACAGGAGATGTCAACTGAAACACTAACCATGTCATTTGATTTATTGTGGACTCATTAAACACCCATCTTGCCTATTTATGTGATAAGCCATATGGAAAACCATAAACTACATAGGTCATCATAGGGCCTAATGATCATTCCAGTTATTTTGTAAGCTCATTATTTAAAAAGGAAAGGAATGTTGGAACATACACATCTACTATTTCTTCTTTGCAGCATATTTTTAAAAATCAATACAATGTTTTCATTTTTCCCATGCCAGTCACCTGAAGAAATTGATAAGGAGGAAGTTAACCTTTCTGACTCTGAAAGGAAAATGGACCCAGCTGAAGAGGATACAAACGTGTATACTGAGAAACACTCAGACAACCTGTTTAAACGGACAGAAGTCCTTGCAGGTGAGTAGCTGAGTGCCTGTCAGGTTCGAGGATGCTTTAAACAGGTCTCACTTTCTCTTAAGTGATACTCAGGTGCAGCAAATCTTGCTGAATATTATCTTCCTCCTGGAAGCAGTTTTGAAAATCTTCATTCCAGAGAGAAAAGCAAGAGGAGGGGCAAACTTTGCCTTTCTTTCCTGCCAGGTCTCTCTGCCTAGCCTTAGTCAGCCCTGAGGAAAGGTGGAAGGTAAGAAGTAGCCTAAAAGAGGAAAGTGATGATCCAAATTGGTCCAGAACAAGCATGCATGGGAGGCGACAGGGTGTGAGCACCACTCCGCTTTGCTTCAAGTTAAACTTAAGGACTTTGTGGGGAAGGTAGATGACACAAATACTGCCCCAAGTGTTAAAAGAATGTTCTCTCTAATTTCAATTTATCTGATGGAAGTTCAAGTTGAGCACCCCTAACCTGAGAATCTGAAATTTGAAATGCTCCACAATCCAGAACTTTTTAACTCCCGACATGAGCTCACAAGTGGAAAATTCCATGCCTCATCTCTTGTGATGGGTTGAAGTCAAAACACAGACATACAACTCCAGCTTTGCTTCATGCACAGAATTATGAAAACATTGTATAAAATTTCCTTCAGGCTGTTGTATGAGGTTTCTATGAAGCATAAATGAATTTCATGTTTAGACTTGTGTGCCATCTCCAGTATATGTCATTGGGTATATACAAATATTCCAAAAGCCAAAATTGTGTATACTCCAAAGCACTTCTAGTCCCAAGAATTTCAGATTCAAGGTTATTCAACCTATACTAACATTTGTTTTAAAGATGATTTGCAGGATTTAAGAACACCTGACTTTTGAAAGAGTCTCACATTCAAGCCTAGAAAGAAATTTGCATACTTTTCTTTATATTTACTCTTAAAAAAATTTGTCAGTTATACCATATTTGGTATTTTCATTGAGAAAGCAGCCAGAAGATTTGAATATGAGGTGCAACAACTAAAAAGACAAAAGCATTTGAGAGTAAGGAATTAAGCCTAGGTCACAGCTGGATTTTTTTCTTATGCAGGCTTTTGAGTGATATTAATACTAATCAAAGGAAGTATTACTGTACCTTGGTGAAGAATGTCAGATTTGCATAATTACCTTTATCGAAGCCAGTTTTTTTTTTTTAATTTTTAAATTGGGTTTTCAGATTAAGCCTTTTATATGAGTGTAAATAGACTGGGCTTGATAAAGCTAGTTTCTGTACCCCTTGAGTCTCATCCAAGAGTAATGTCATGTTGGTGAATTTCAGCTGTCATCGCGGGTGGTGTGATCGGCTTTCTCTTTGCAATTTTCCTCATCCTGCTGTTGGTGTACCGCATGAGAAAGAAGGATGAAGGAAGTTATGACCTTGGGGAACGCAAACCATCCAGTGCTGCTTACCAGAAGGCACCTACCAAGGAGTTCTACGCCTAGTGTCTCTATTTATGAGATCACTGAACTTTTCAAAATAAAGCTTTTGCATAGAATAATGAAGATCTTTGTTTTTGTTTTTTGATTTTTGGTTTTTTTCATTGAAGAGCCATTCTGGCACTTTAATGCTAAAATCCCATTGTATTTAAAACTTTTCATGTATTTCTTTAGAACCGAAGTAAAATTAAAATTTAACATCTGCAGTGTTCTGTGAATAGCAGTGGCAAAATATTATGTTACAAAAACCCTTGAAACTTCTATGCGTAAATACAAAATGATCGGTTTTTTTGTCCTATGGTTCTAAGATGAAAGCTGTTTCATTTGTCAGCATGTCTCAGATTGACCGTACCAAGTTGGTCTTGCTTTGTTAATTTATCTCTTGTCCCCTCTTCTCTGCCCACCCGTCTTGTCCCCTGAAAAACCAAACTGAACCCTATGCCTTTTGTAGCTGTCATGGTGCAATTTGTCTTTGGATGATTCAGATAATGGTAATTTAGTGTATATGTGATTTTCAAATATGTAAACTTAAACTTCCACTTTGTGTAAATTTTTAAATGTCAGACTATCCATTTTACACTTGCTTTATTTTTTCATTACCTGTAGCTTCAGGCAGATTTGTAACAGCAAATTAATGTGTAAAATCGGATTATTACTACAAAACCGTTTAGTCCTATCTTACCTAATCAGATCTTCTTTTGGGAAGGTTTGATGTGACTTACTGATAAGCCTCAGCAAACCCAAAGATGCTAACAGTATTTTGAGAAGTTGCTGCAGATTCCTTTGGCCACTGTATTTGTTAATTTCTTGCAATGAAGGTACGAGTTGGGGTTTAAAGAAAAAAAAATCAGTTTTTGTTCTTAAAAATTTAAGTTGTAAACATCTTTTTAAGCCTTTGAAGTGCCTATGATTCTATGTAACTTGTCGCAGACTGGTGTTAATGAGTATATATAACAGTTTAAAAAAAGTTGGTATTTTATAAGCACAGACAATTCTAATGGTAATTTTTGTAGTCTTATGAATAGACAAATTGTAATTTGGGAACATAAAAACTACTGAATAAATCATGTGGCCTAATGTTGAAAATGTCACTCTTATAAATTTTGTACATTTTCGATCAAATGTACATCTCTCCCTTGCTAATGACCGTCTGCTCTCAAGGATGATGTGGGTTTGATTTCTGAGTATTCCACAGTGTCTGAAATCAAGACCAAAGAACCCATCAAGTGAGGCTGTTTATTTCCAGATTCACTTCTGAACTGGCCAGAGGAAATGAGTGTACCACCCCATGGTGTGACTGGGTACAGGTCTTGAAAGGCTGCCAGGGAATTTTGAAGTTTGCAACCTTTATAGGATAGCTGATGGCAATATCGACACAGATACTTGCCTTTGCAAATAACTTTGAAGACTCTAAAGTCCAAGAACTGAAGGGAACTTTCTGGAAGTAGGTATCTCAGGCTTAGTCCTATAGAATGACTTACTTTTGAAAATGTGTGCCAAAGCTCTCCTGAAGCTTAAACCGAAGACCTTGTGTGTGGAACATCACAGCCCACAATTCAAGGAAGGAGGAAAGGATAGGGAAGCTCTCTGTTAAATGAGAGCCTTGCTGCTTAGGACTGAAGTTGCTAGAAAGAGTGACACCTGAGGAGGAGACTGAAGTATGAAGGTACCCTGGCTGGGTACCTAACTGTACTGAACAGATCCTTTTTTTTTTTTTTTTTTCTATTTTACCATTAGTTTTGCTTTAAACTGTGAGCCCTGGAAGTAGAATGGACAGCAAAACAGCAACTCTTCCAACATTTCATTTATTTTTAATAAACTTTGAACAATTTGTTTCAAGAACATTTCCTGGAATTGCCACAGAACGCTTTAAAAAAAAAAGTATTTTTAAAGCAACACTTGAAGCTGTGTTTTACCTAAATCTTAGATGGCCTTAATTCTTAAATTCCTGCCCTTCACGCTCAGACTCGATTCGTTTTATTTCAAATGATTAAAAGGAAATGGCAGGCCCTTCTAAAGCTGCATAATGTCCCACAATTCCAGAAGCAAAGAAGGCAGTGGGAATACCTCTAACTGCGAAGCAGAGTGAAAAATCTCATAGAATAACTTGCTTGGAGTATCTGTGCCAGGAAAAGAAATTTTTTCTGGCAAATATTTTGTCACTGCTGTAAAGCAAAATATTTGTTAAAGTGCCAAAATAAAGTCTGTCATGCCGAAAGTAAATCATTGTATAGACTGACATCCAGTTTTCTTCAGTGATATGTTTTCTGCTTAGTTCATTGTTTTTAAATTTTTAAGATGTAGTAAATAATACTATAAAAGGTGTTAGTAATCTCGACTAAGTTCAGGAAAATTTCGTTAAAATACAAATATCAAACCAGTGTGAAAATTTCCTGTTTCCTTGACCACATGTAAATGAGCTGCTTTGTGTGAACATGGCTTTGTGCTGGAGACACGTGCAGTATTCAGACTGGCCCATTTTCAACACATGGTGGGGGAAATGGGATGAGCTCGTGGTTTTTTTTTAATCCAAGGTTCAGCTTCGGGTATGTGCTATGTGAACTTCAGGATTAGATCCTAGTTGGTCAGATTAAATTTAGAACAAGATTATAGAAATTGCCATCAGTGTTAACCATTGATCATTTCACAGTAAATGTTTAGGGAATTGGTGTTTTGGTAATGCACTTTTTTTTTTTTAAATTACATGCAATGCTCTTGTTTGTTGAGAAGGTAGTCTACTTACTGTAGGGTCTAGGAGAGAAAGTTAAATAAGTAAGGCACAGTTTCTTTACTCATATGGCCGTAAAGAAACTAATATGCCCCACAAATAATAACGTCATCATTTTTAGGAGCTTATCGCTGTGTATCTTAAGACAAATTGAAAATTCAAGGAAAAATTTCAAGTGAGGAACACAAACATAAAAACTAAAAATATTGCAGGGTAAATTTGATAAGCAGGATCTTCTATATAGTCTCATTACACTTGTACCTAGGAGGCTGAGGCAGAGGGATCATTTGAATCCAGGAGTTTGAGAGCACCTCCAAAAACAAAGAGGTTAAGATGGTAGGTTTGGGGCCGGAGTGCAGCTCCATAATAGAACACTTGCCTAGCATGCTTGCTTGCGGCCCAACACCAAGAAACAAAAAAGGCAAGGACTTTAAGCAACATGATCTCTAACATGAGGTTCTATGTTCTAAGCCCAGGCAACAGTGAGACCCTATGGGTTTCCAACTAAAATGAGTCAAGTCAGATGATAAATGGTGTGGTCTGCTTTAAGTGATCACTAACGCTCTTCTCAGTGCTAATATTTTATGACAATAGTGAAATTTGAGACTTGGCCATTTCTGGGAAGTTAGATTCAGCCAGCATAGAAAACGCTTTAAAAAGTTGATGAACATCTGTCTACCTCCAGTGGTAAAAACAGTATCCAAATGAATTTTGACCCACTGTCTCCTAAGTCTGGGTAACTTCACTCTTTGGGTTCTTAAGTTTTCTTTCTTTTGTTTTATCTGCTCTCTATGGTTGTTGGCAGGGCCTTTTTTGACCAAGAAATCCTGGTGGCTAACTCACTTTCCTGTGAGTTAGCTAGAAGGGTGTAATCCAAACTGCTGATCCAGCCCACAAAGCAGAGTGAAGTGATTTGGTGCTTGGCTATGCTGAGTGCAAGATACATTCATTCCAGTTTCCTTAGCAAAATAGCACTCAAGTAGCAAATGTTTGTATGTGCCAACCAAATAATGACTACACAAGACACTTCAGGAAGCGAGGGTATAGATCTGATCTAAGTAGACACATAGTTTTCATGAACTCCTGGGGGAATCCATAGAGGGAACAAAACCCAGTAAATCTTAACGAGGATAGTTGTCAGTGGACATAATATAAGCAGATGTAAGGGACTGAAAGACTCATTCTGGAGGGTCCAGGATGGATGCTGTGGTAACAATCTCATAGTCTCAGCGACATCTGCTAGCAAAGATTTCTTTCTGGCTCAAGCTATGTGCCCATGAGCTGGTGGAGAGTCGTGCTAATGAATCGTTGTGATTCTCATTCCAGGACTCAGGTCCTAGGAGTAGCCATTACCTAGAACTCTGCCAGTTACTGAGTTAGAAGGAAAAGGGTCAAAGCACGTAGAGGGTCTTAAATCTTCCCAGTAGCCATGTATGTCACTTCTACCCAATCTCACTGGCCAACACCAGTCGTAAACCACCCCTAAGGTCCATAGTACAGAGAAGTGAAATCCAACATTGTGTCCAAAAGGAAAGAGATTGACTCACTATGACTACTATGGTCTGATCAGGAAAGATCTTTTGAGAGAGTAGGACTCGGTGATGCAGAGCCAGATGTATGAAAATCAGGACAAGCTTTCCAGGTTAGGGGAGGCCCAAGGGAAAGAACATGCTTAGCATGTTGGAGGAACAGGGGGCAGACCAATGGCCTAGAAGGAGGAGACAGTGAGAGAAGTGAAAGAAGAGGGCTGAGAGGTGGAGTCACCTCCTAACTGGTCTTTCTTCCATTTTTGTTCCCTTATTCCTCAGAAGGAAGCTAAACTGATCTCAACACCTACATTCATTTTATGTTAATCCCTTCAAGGGCTCCTACAGACTCAAAATAAAACCCTGATGTTTACCGTGACCCTCAAAGTCTACAGAAATTGCACCTGAATGTGCATTGCTAGTTAGGAGGTCATTATCTCCAATTAGGGGAGGGACACAATAATCTGTTTTATGGTGGTCATTGTGGAGATGGAGAGGACTGATTGGAAGGCAAGAGGAACAGGTCTCTCTAAAAGGTTGAAAAGGAGCCTGGAGTAAGGAAAAAAAGAAATTAAAGATGACATCCACATTTATGACTGAGCAGTGGGTAAAACATACCCTGAGATGGAGAGTTGGCTTCTGGTGAATCAAGAGGTCCTTTTGAGCCATGCTAAGTTAGAAGAGACTGTTGGATGCTCAAGAGGAGGTGTCAGGTACAGGAAGAAATGGAAGGACCTGCAGCTCAGAGAAGAGGTTAAGAGATACTAATTTGGGAGTGGTGTCTGTAATTTGCACCTTGGCTCATGTCCTACTCTTCCTGCCTTGCTCTGTGTGGATTTGGTGGTAGTAGTGGTGGGGAGCAGTAAGACTACAGTGCTCACAGTTGACCCATGCAAACTTCATTTCCCAGATTTCCTTGTCAGTTTCCCTTGGGAACCTTTGGCCAATGGAAGGGCCCTGGCAGAAGACCTCAGTTAGGAAAAGGGGAAAAGTCAGAGTACTCTCTGCTGTCTCTGCTATGGGCAGCATCTCCAGCACTAAAGCATCTTCCCTGTGGTTTAAGTTCTCCACTCCTCCATGTCCCCAGTTCCCATAATTCCTAACTCTCATAATTTGCTTTCCCACTATTCTCTCAGTAATCTCACCCTCCCCAGTTTGCCCTTACAGCTTTTCCAACATCTTTGCAACTGATTCTAGTATTCAGTTCCCTTTTGTATTACCCAGCGTGGGTTCTGTTTTTCTTCCTGGACCCCTGACTGATGACACAGTACTGAACAGTCTGTAGGTGTTATTAAAAGCCATGGGCCTAGATGAGATAATTTGGAGAGGTAGAGAGAGAAGGAGGATGGCACTGAGCCTACCTTCAAGCAAAGTCTGACTGTGTTTTTAGGTGATAACCATTAACAGATTCACTCTTTTCCAGAAGTGTACCATTTTGGAAGATGCTTAGCAGAGAACACAAGGGGGAAATCTCCATATTGCCAAGCACATTTTTGAGAAAATTAGTAAATGTTAAAGATTCTAGCTCTACTTGGTCATATGAAAGAAAGTAAGAACTGTTTTCAAAATAGAGCAAAGTAATTAGACAGGGAAGTAAGAACTATTTGCACAGTCAGAAAGCATCTCGATTATCTGTGTTTACAATGGGACCCTATCAGCAAACCAAGCAGCAAGTAATTCTCCCACTTGTGGCATTGTCCTGAGGTCATTGAAAACAAGATTTTTGCTCCCTTAATTACATTCCACTTAGGTAAATACCAGAGTAAGCTTCTATTTCTTTTGAGATCAATTTCTGGGAAAATTAGTAAACATGGTTTAAATGTAGATGACTTTGTTCTATAGTAGACCAGAACTTGGAGATCATGAAAAGTTTCCTGTTCTGATTAACCCATCTCAGTCCTTAATTGTTAAAGTATCTATAATCTTTTTTTTACCTTGTTCAGTTTTTCATGAGTGAAATAAAGATAATGACATCCACCATCATGTTGGCTTATAGGACTTCAACAAGGTAATAAGCACTGGCCATGACATCTGGCATCTGGCAGGTTCTCAAGTCAAGATGGTTTAGTCATTCCTCTACCAGAAGTTTCCTGGGAGAGACAGACAATGAACAAGTATGTAATGGAATTCAACAAAAAGTTGACATTTGAGCAGAGTCAAATATGGTGGGGGATTGTGTCATGGCAGATGTGGGAGGGGAGCCTGCGGATCTGGGTATCTGGGGAACATTCCATGCAGAGGAACTAGTGAAAGACGGGACCGTGAGCGTGGCAGGCGAGTAAGTGCACTAGAGAGCAGAGTGGTGGGTAGTCCGGAAGTATCCCTGGGCCACATCACGTATGTACATGATTTTAGGCAAACACCGCAGGACTTTGAGCCAAGGGGAGGCTCAACCCTCAGCAGGTATGAGAATCACCAGGGGTGAATCTATGTT